ACCTTTCCCACCATAAATCCGGTTCATAAATATAAGAATCACCGCCATTTTCAATATACCATAGTGTTGGACTTATATTCTTGTTTATTATATTAATCGTGCCAGTTGAATTAGATTGCACTAGCACAACTGTATAGAGTTTGTTCATATCCATTTTCAGTGAGTCTTGGGATTCCAAAAATTGACCAGCAATTTGAGCCAACTCTTTTCTCCGAAATATTATTCTTACCACCATATCCCATGCATAATAATTCGCCTTCAATTGTAGAATTAGTCGGAAGATACATACTAACGATTCTTGGATCAAAATATGTTACATTATATATTGGAGACTCAAGTAAATTTTCATTTGCTGTCATATTCATTCGTTGTATAACTGTGACTTGCTTATTCTGGCTATATCTAATGCTTTTCGATGTAAGGACCATCATTTGGCCATTGTAACCAAGAGGCTGTAAGTTTGACTGCCATACGTCGGTTTTATTAATAAACAGTTTGGCTTGCCTACTAAAAGAGGTAGACCCTTCCCAAGTGATCTGTGTTATATTAGTTGATTTACAGCTGACATACGGTTGTAGCCATAGACCTTTAATTGACCAACTAAATTTCTCTCCATTTGGTTCATAAAGATTCCACCGTTGTCATGATCTACAATCATTTTGTCAATGAAACCATAACCCGTTTGCGTAGTAGTCGTTACACCCATCATGAAGTCATATGAAGGATATGAAATGTTATCAGTACTACTAGTTTCAACAAGCGGAATCTCATAGCATTATTACTATATGTTCTGTTAAAATCAATTGCATATGCTTCATCGACATATAAGTAATTTTTCATTCCAAGGCATGAACCACATATCCTAATTTCTGATAACTTTTTCAGAGAATAAGTGTTGTTAATTGCACTATTAAGTATATCAGACTCAATAACTTCAGTCTCAGCAGATTTCATATTATTTATTAGTACAAGAATTAATACCGAGTGGCATTATAGCAGATGATCCATATAATGCTGCCAGACAAATAAGAAAGTAAATCAAATTACTCTTATAAGATCCCTTGCACTCAATCAACAATTTATATGCTGTTGGCGCTGGCTCATCACCCACACCGTAAGAGCTAATTGGACTTTTAACTATTAATTTACTTTTTGTTGTCCACTCTAAAGCTGTCATTTTATTGTTAATATTTTTCAATATCAATATAATACCTATCCCGTTAATGATAATTGGTAATAAAAAGTTAACGATATCAATAATTGTCCTGGACTCAAATTAACTATTATCGTCATTTTTTTTTTAGTGGGGCCTATAATGATTACGTGGGAGATCTTTCAAAAGCCGAGTTCGATATATTGAAACTTAATCGTTTTATATGTTAAGCTTTGAATAAAAAACAAAAATTAACAAAATGTTTGATATTTTGAATATTATATAATTTTCAGGATTATGAGTAAAGTAAGCATTTTACGTTATTATTGCTCGATCAGATGATTTATTGAAAACATATGGGAATACGTCCGCTATCATTTACAGGCTCAATATTTCAATGATACATATTAACTTCCTATAAGACATTGTTAATCCTAACTAACCATCCTGAACCTATGTGTTCCTCAAAATCCCCCAACTGCTGAATGCATTG